TTATCTTTGTTTTAAATTAAACTTTAAACTTTTGCTTGTTTTATTGTTGAATACTCATATTTCTAAAGACTAGGTGCATTAGCAAAAAAGTTCTGAACAGGACGACCACCTAATAGCCCTCCTCATTCCATGTAGCCCCCCTGGGAGTCGGAGGCGCCCAGGTTCCTCCTCGAGTAGAGTCCCTGCCGCGGCTTGAACTTGCCATCGCCCAGGGTGATCCTGGCCGGCAGCTTCTTGCCCCGGAAGGTGGCTACCTCGAACGAGGGCGGCGGCGACACCTTCTTCTCCGGCTTCTCATCATCCTCCGGCACGGGGATGTGCCACGCCTGCTTCGTGGTGCTGGTGGCGGTCGGCGGAGCTGTCGAGGACGACGAGGATTCCCCCACGGGACGCACCTGGGTTATCTCCAGGGTGTTCTGCTTCTTCTTGTAGTACATCACCTCCATGCCGAGCGTCATCATGGCCAGAATGAGGCCAAACAAGGTGGCTATAAAGACGCCGCCCAAGCTCTCCAGGGTGATGCCCTCCTGGTCCTCCGAGAGCGGGCAGTTGTGCAGGTTCGATTGGTTCCAGAATTTGGCCTTCAGCTCCTCGAAGAACCGATCCTTCTGCAGCTCCAGGATGGCGTAGCTCAGCTCGTCGCCCAGGTGGCTGCCCTGCTGGACGGCCACGGCATACGGCTGCTCCGCGAAGACCTCGCCCACCTCGGTGAGATTGCAGTTCCGGGTGATCTCGTACTTGATCTCCGCCGAGTCGTGGATGAAGGCGTAGTCGGCGTTCTCGTGGGCGTCCACATTGGCGAATCCCTCCCGGGCATCGGCCACCGGCTGGGAGCTGTTGATGGCCAGCAGAATGTGGCCGTACTGCTCCTTGATCGGGTAATCCCAGATGCGGAACTTCTTGAAATCCTTGCTGGCATTCAGCGCCAGCTCCTTCCACATCCGGTACAGTGTGTCCTCGGCGAACTTCATGTTGACGAAATACTGATGGGTATCCGAGTCCCTGACCACGGTGTAGTTGATCCTGGACTGACGGGCCAGCTGCTCCAGCGACTGGACGGGCGTTTGCATGCGCTCCACGGTGAGAAAGGCGGCCAGATTGGCGGTGAAGGTGGCCAGCATGAGGACGACGAAGAGCCAGTAGGCGGCCACCAGCATCCGGCCGGAAATGGCCTTGGGAGCCTCCCCGCCTCCCTGCGGAGTGAAGGAGGTCAGTGCGAACCAGAAGCTCTCCCGCAGCGTGAACTCCCGACAGGCATACGGATAGGCCTGCCGGTTGTTCCGCGAGCTGTACGGCGAGTACTTGTCCATGAACCAGATCATTATGGCCGTGCCCACCAGGGCGGCCACAATGCTCAGCCAGACCTCCACCCGGAGCACGGTCATGAACTTGAACAGCGAGGTGCGGCGCACCGGCTTCCGGATGGCTATCGAGATGCCCGTCTGCTCGTAGTACGGCGGCAGGAAGTCGATCACCTCCTCCCGCTCCGAGTACATCTTCAGCGCCGCAATTGCGAAGTCCGTCTCACCGCGGATCAGATCCCCCACCACGCCGTCCCACTCCCCCCGCTCGTTCACCTCGCCCATGTGGCCCACCTGGGGGGCCACGATCTCGTACTCGAAGTTCAGCTTCTGCGACAGCCGGATGATGAAGTCGATGCAGTAGCCCTCCCAGATGGGCGAACCACTCCGATCACGCAGCAGTTCGCCGGTGCGCTCGTTCCGGCGCAGATAGCTCCAAGGGATGCTCTCGGCGGTGCCGATGCGGAAGAACCGCTTGGCCGGACTGATCGTCTCGTTTAGCAGCCGCATCTCGGCCACCGACGACCAGGCGGCCAGATCCGTCTTGGCCTCGTGCTCGGAGCTGTAGTAGCCGGCGGATATGTTGACCGCAAATGTCAGGCCCGGCACCGGGCTCTGGGAGGGATCCTGGACGCGCGGCGGCGGCGAGGCGTACGTGAGGAAGTTGCTCCAGTGCACCATGTCCAGCCAGTTGTAGTCGTCCTCCAGCGGATCCCCAACCTCCGACGAGGAGGCCGTGGCGTTGCAGTCCCGGTAGATGGCTGCCGGGTACAGGTGACTCACCTGCGCCGCGTTGATCAGGCTGCGCAGCACGTTCAGCAGCATGGCGCGCTGCATCTGGAGGAGATTGGATAAGGGACGGTTATATTAAAAGTTATAAGATATTAAAGGGTTCAAATTTTTGTCAAAAATACGAGATTCAGATTTTTGTCAAAAATTCTACATTTTTTTTCGGTTTTTCAATCGTAGTTCAGCCAAATCAGGGCGTACAGCTAAAAGACCGACTGTTTTGAGCAGCTTGCTAGATATGCTAACGATCACTATCACTTTAAGGAAAATTTATTTTTTTGCCAATTTTCGCATTTCTTGTAAGGGGTTACATTATATATTTTTGCGAAAAATGGAAAAAATAAAAAATTTCCAGGTTTGAATGTCAATCGATTGGAAATTTAACAACGAGCTCAACGAGATATGAAATTCCTCATTCTGACTTTTATTTTTATTTTGGCAGCCAAAAAACGGAATTTTTATGGCGAAAAAAGTGTTCAAATTTTTGTCGAAAATACGGGATTCAGATTTTTGTCAAAAATTCTACATTTTTTTTCGGTTTTTCAATCGTAGTTCAGCCAAATCAGGGCGTACAGCTAAAAGACCGACTGTTTTGAGCAGCTTGCTAAATATGCTAACGATCCTTATCACTTTTATGAAATTTTATTTTTTGACCAATTTTCTCATTTTTTGTAAGGGGTTACATCATCTATTTTTGCGAAAAATGGAAAAAATAAAAAATTTCCAGGTTTGAATGTCAATCGATTGGAAATTTAACAACGAGCTCAACGAGGTAAGACATTCTTCATTCTGACTTTTATTTTTATTATGGCAGCCAAAAAACTGAGTTTTTATGACAAAAAATGGGGTTAAAATTGTTGTGAAAATGGAGATTCAGATTTTTGTCAAAATTGCGAATTTTTTTTTCGGTTTTTCAATCGTAGTTTAGCCAAATCAAGGCGTACAGCAAAAATACCGACAGTTTTGATCAGCTTGCTAAATATGCTAACGATCACTATCACTTTAAGGAAAATTTATTTTTTGGCCAATTTTCAGATTTTTTGTAAGGGGTTACATCATCTATTTTTGCGAAAAATGGCAAAAATGGAAAATTTCCAGGTTTGAATGTCAATCGATTGGAAATTTAACAACGAGCTCAACGAGGTAAGACATTCTTCATTCTGACTTTTATTTTTATTTTGGCAGCCAAAAAACGGAATTTTTATGGCGAAAAAAAGGGTTTAATTTGCAAATATAAAATTGCACTATGAGGTTTTGTAAGACATCATATATGTATTAATTTGAAATCTTTGAAAATCCAAAATTTGCATGAACATCAAATGATAAGATTATATATTAATTGTGGTATCTGATCCAATTATATTTTTTTTATCATATCATGTATTACATTTTTCAGGAAGACCTGAAGAAAACTAGAAACTAGATTGGTATGCAAGTATTTGTATACCTACCCTTATCAGAACCTAGATTTTTGAATATAATGCCAAAAATTACAATCCCCTGCTCACCGTGAATCCGCTCCCACAATAAAGATCTGGCATGGGCATCGATCGGCAGATCGCTCGAGGACTCAATGTGAACCGGGTGCAAAGTTCCGCCTGGCGTCTGTATTTGAATACTCGATCCCGGGTGTCCAGGAACACGAAATGCCACTCCAAAGGACGCTGGAACAGTCCCGCCTTTTGCACCTGCCAATTTCGGAAAAATAAAGACTATAAATATAGAAAGGAACGGATAAAATCGATCCAGAGTTCAAAAAGATACATATGTATCTTTTAATTGGGTTGGGGACTTGAATATGTATAACAATGTTTTCGGAACCCTTTTTAAGCATTCCGCAAGGGAATAAAAAAATAGAAAATTATGTTAGCAAATATACATAATTTAAAATATTATATTTTGATCATTTTATTCTTATTTACGGACTAGCTCACCTTATCGAAAATTCCGTTCATGGCGGCTGCACGAGCAAATAAAGCCACATAAGTGGGCGGCGGACGCAGCGAGCGGATGCGGTCGAGGAAATTCTGGCCAGGATCGGTCTGGCTGGCGTCCAGGATGATCGTGCGGAAGGGATAGCCGATTAGCATCTGCTGCATGGCCTCGCCGGCGTCGCGGGCATTCATGAAGACCATGGCCACGTTGTTGGCCCGCTTCTGGCGCATAAAGTCACCGAACATGTCCAGAAAGGGGCGCATTATCCGCTCCAGACGCACATAGCCAATGCCCAGGGATCGGACTAGGTTGTAACCTTCCTCCCAGTGGCGGTAGGTGAGGTCAATCACGGCGCTAGTGCCGACAGTGGACAAAATTTCACAGACTATAGAACAAGTTGGGGAGTTAAATACAAAGGAATGTAGGTATTATGCCATTTTTTTTAAATAAAATACTTAAGAATACAAATAAACATTATTATCTCTCCCATACAACTTACACCTCTCCATGTCCAGACCATCTTCGGAGCGGGTCAGCGTCAAGGAGGTATCGGCCACTTTAACATCCAGACGCAGGGCGTCCAGTTCCTTGAGAACCACCAACATATCCGCATCGAAATCCGTCCGCTGGACGGGCTCTACCCAAAAGGCTATTAGGAGTAATCAGAAATTTAACTCCCGATCGAGACGAATTTCCAAGAACACCCACTAATCTTCAGATCCTCCGAGTTGGCCAAGTTAAATGTAAAAAGAAGTATCATTACCAGTAGCAGCTCCATGGTCAACCGATTGCTCAGACTTCTCGCCGGGATTTAAGTCCTGGCGGTGTCGCCAATCGGACCAGTGCCTCAATTGCCGTCCAATTATGCCAATTATTACTCGCGTGCGGTGCCCATCATTGGACAATATGCATATTTTAGCAGCTGGAATGACAGCCAGAGTTCGATTCCCACAGAAAGTCAAGTCACCTGATGGATTGGCTTGGTTATTTCCTTATATTCTCTTTATCCGATAGAGTATAAAATCAAATCATAAATTTTTGTTCGGGCGGGGCCTTAGTAATACGAAAAAAAACGGCTCTTAACAATTAAATCAACTGGCTATCAATATACAGCGCTATATAAGAAATATATATAATCTATATATATGAATGTGGATAATGAAACATAAATTAGTAACTCCTTCTGGGATATTTTTGTGAATGTTGTGTGAGCAGGTTGTGCTACTCCGTCTCAACTTACAGCGAAAATAAATACTTTAATAATAACGATCCCTGAGGCACACCTACATCAGTGGCCCAAGGTTGCAGGTTGCATGGATTACAGACTACAAATGATGATATTTAAATTCATTTAAAAACTTGATCTTTTTCTACAAATAATTAGGGATAACTAGGTATAACTAGGGAGCTTAAAAAGCTGAGAGATTTACTCCCGTGATTGCCAACGAGCGCGGATTTAGGTGTACATATTAACATTAGGATGAAGATGGAATCAGGTTCCGTGAAGGTGCGAGAGTATCGACTCGATGTCCTCGATCTCCACGCTGTGGTTCTGGTTCTGGTTCTGCGGCTCCTTCTGCTGCGCCGAGTTATCCGGGGTTTCCTCGCTGACACCTCCACTGCTGCTGTTCGTTGTTATCGGTGCTGAATTGCTATTTGGATAATATATTGGTATTACTATATTGAGGCTTACTACCATACCACATCTATTATTTGACAATCTATTATACAAATATATAGTACTAAGAGTAGCATAGGTGTCATGGAATTCGAATACCTCCAAGGCACAGGGGTTACTTACATGGTAGCCACCTCCAGATCGTCTTCATCCTGCGGATCACTCTTGGATGGAGGCTTCTCCGCCAGCGGCGTGGACGTGGCTGAGGGCTTTTCTCCAGCAGCAGCCGCAGCCGCAGTCACCTCCGCTTCCGCTCCACTTGCACTTGCTCCCATTGCAGTTGCTCCACTATTGCTGGTCAGGCGGCGTATCCGCTTCTTGGGTATATTGCGTATTACGCTGGCCAGTTGCTGGCTCAGATTTATCATCTTGGGACTGGCGATGCGCATCGTATGCACTTGCTCGTCATCGGTCATCATGCGCATCTGGTAGTTCTTAAAAAAGCTCGACGGCTGACGCATCATCGGATTGCTGGACTTGGGTCCGTTGTCCGCATAGGAGAAGTTGAAGGTACAACGCTCCTGGCTGCTGCTCAGGCATATGTCCTGCTCGTAATCGCTGTCCTCGGGCTCTACGGGTTCGGTTTGAGGGGGTGGGTTCTGCTCAATTTCTTGTACCGTCGGCGGTGGGTTTGGCGGCTTTTGGTCTGGTGAAGCCTGGGTGGATTCCGCTTCCGCCACCATGGGCAATGCTGGTCCGGCGGTTGTCGAAGAGGGTGGCCTGGCTTCGGCACGCTTCTTTACCGGCTTTTTGGTGGTGGCTTTGGCGTTGGGCTTCGCTGTATCTCCGCCACTGGGCTTAAGGCCCTCTTCCGGAGCAGGGGCTAAGTAATAAAAGCAATCAATTAGTTAAAATATATTTCTTAGGTATTTTAAGTACTCACTTTTATTGTCGATTAGTCGCGACGATCGGCGCATACAAATCTTGGGAGGCTCTGCGTTCGCGTTCCTCTTGGGACGTCCACGTTTTCCCGGCGCCGGTTGTGCCGCAATCTCGACTGCTGCACGAGTGGCTTTGGGTTTGATGACAGCCGTTGATGGCTCCTGCTTCTTGGCTGAAAGATTGAGGGCGATGAGCAGGGCGGGATCCAGTTTGCTGGTGGGTGGATCGGCTGGCGGATCTTTGGGTGCCACAACTGGCGGGTCGGGAGCCTCTGTGGACGCTGTGGCTTTCTGAATAGGTTCGATCAGCTTTCTGGCCGCTTTAGTTTTGAGTGGCTCCACGTGCTCCCGCTTCTTCGGGGACTTCTGGATGCTGGGATTGGCCAACTTGGCAGTTTCGCGCATGGCAGTGAGCTTCTTGGCGGCAGTCTTTTTGCTTTGGGACCTGGCTGGTTGGGCCTGCTCCTTGAACTTGGCCATAACGCGTTGGCGCTTCTCGTCGAGCTGCTGGCGTTGGTGTTCCTGGAGGATTGCAGAGGGCGCTGGTGGAGCGGGCAAAGGATCTGCTGCATCTGGCGGAGGTGGTGGAGGGGCAGCAGCTGGCGGAGGTGGTGGAGGAGCAGCAGCTGGCGGAGCTTCGGGAAGTGGCGGTAGCTTAACAGCTGCACTTAATCGTGCGGCCATGGGTTCAGGAGGTTTGGGAAAGGTTCGCGATTCGCCACTGGTATCCGCCTCCTGGGCCTGCTCCTTGCTCGGTGTGAGCCAATTTCGGATGGGATAGCGAACCTCGCCATCCTGGCTTACTAGTTGACCTGGCTGACTGTCAATAGCGAGCATGGGCAGCACTGCATCCTCCGAGCCGGCTGCCTTTAGCCACTCCTCGTCCTCCGTGCTGCTTATATTCGATAGGTTGTCAATGTTGAGCAACACCTCCTCATCCTTGGAGCACTTCTCACCATCGACATCCTCGCCCTCTGCCTCCTCCTTATCGCTATACGCCTTTCCGCTGTGAGAACTTTGTGATGAAGAGGAACTAGACGATGAACTACTGGATGAACTCGAGCTCGAGCTGGAGGAGGACGAAGAACTGGTCGCCGAAGAGCTAGAATTGCTGGATCCCTCGATGATGGCCTCGGGCAGACCGGGCAGCAGCTTGTAGTGCGGAAGTTGCTGCTGATCTGAAGAAAACGAGCCGGCTGCAGCGGACTCCGCACTGTCCACCGCCTCACTGCCAAAGGAACGAACACGTCGTAGGACGTTGGGCTCCAGGGACAGGACAACGGGTTGCTTCACAACCTCTGGTGTTTTCTCCGAAACCTTTTCCTTTTGCACAGCCTCGATCTCTGTTTCCTGAGCGTGCTCTTCTTCCGGCTTCTCTGGTCTTTTAGGTGTCTGTTTGTTGTTCTCAGGATGCTCCTCCTCCTTCCCCTGATTACGACTTTCCTTCCTTCGACCTGCTGATTGTTCCTTCTCCTTCACAGGACGGTCTTTATTTTGCAAGAGCTCTTCCTCAGTTGCCTCGCTTTTTTTCCTCTCCTTAGAACGATCCTGTGGCTGTTTTTTCTCCTGGATATCTTCCCATTGCTGTATTGCGCACTGCGCATTTGCATCCGTGTGCTCCGCCTCGTCCGGACGATAGTAGGAGCTGCCTGAAGAGTACTCAGTCTTGGCAGCGCTACCCACGGGAGTACCCGGCATCTGGCCAAAGGGTGTCAAGCGGAACCCGGGGGTAATGGCGCTTAACTGGGGCGTATCCATAATACTTTTGGTATCCGAGCCAAACAGAAAGCTGCTGCTGGGCAACTTGCCATATGGCGTGTCCAGCGGTAGAATAGCCATCCCTGGAGTGGGTGGGATGGCGGCGGACTCGGAGCCACCTGCTTCCTTCGATGTTGTGTCTTCTTGTGCTGCACCACTGGCTTCCGGTCCTTTAGGAGATGCCTTAAAAGGCGTATCCAGCAACATGGCCATGTTGACGCGCACCAGTTCGTCCGCATATGCCGTCGCCTGCTCAATATCCTTTTTCTTATTCTTTGCCTCGACCTCCACTTGGGTTTCGTCTATGGTTTCATCTATGGTTTCGTCTACGGTTTCCTCTTTGGTCTCCAAAATCTTCTTCTTTTTCAGAGTCTTGGATTTCTGCGGAGTGATGATCTTGATGTTGATCTTCTCTGTGGAATCGCCAACGCTGCGCACTGCTTTTTTGACCTGGTTCTTGGACTCCACCTTAGCCCTGGCCATGGAGGCTTTTCGTGCTTTTGAGGAAGCTGATGTGGGCGTGTCTTTCTTCTTTGGACGCCTCGCACGACCGGTGGTCTTCACCTCCTCGCGCTTGGAGTTGATCTCACGCAGCCGATTCTCTAGGTCAGAGTTGGAGCCATGCAACTGGCGCTGCCAGGCGGCCATGTCGTTCTCGGTAACTGCTTCTCTAGCGGAGGAGCCTACCTCTGGCTTTCTCTCCACTTTCTGCTGCTCCTGGAGATTTTCTTTGCTGGCCTCGGCGCTGTCATCGTGAGCGGAAGAAGATGCGCTGCAGGCGGAGTTGTTTCTGGGCACCGCCTTCTCCTGGTTCTTTTCCGGCTTGGATTCCGTTTCCGCCTGGGAGATTATCCGTTTGCACGCCTTGACCGCCGCCTGGCGTTTCTGTTTTCTTTTTGGCGTGGCTGCCATCGGCAGTGCCGGAGCTGATGTGGGTGCAGCTGGAGGATTGGCCCTGATCACCGTCTGGTTGCTGCACTCCTCCATGGCAAACAATGGCGGCACACCGCCCAGTCCCTCGTTCGAGCTTAAATCGCAGGCTGCCTGGATGATCTCCACATGGTTGATAATAGGCTTCTCTTTGGCTTTGGCCAGCAAACCAGGTCGCCTAGTGGAGAGCGGCGTATTGGGGTGCAGGACGCCACCAGAAGGAACCTTAGGGGAGAAAGTTAAAGTTCGTACATGCGAGGTTCTCTTTCGAGGAGTGGATAAGCTACGGAAGGCCTTTACATTGATTATCCCCGCCGTGGAGGGCGTCACTCTCTCCATGACCTGTCGGGAAGAGTCCAGGGAAGCGGGTGGCAGCTTTCGCTGCTCCTCTTCCAGTTGCTCCTCCGGCTGTTCTTTTGATCCCGCCCCCTTTAACGTCTTATCCTCCTCTTTTGTCAACTGCACGGGTGGTTCTAAGCTAGGAGGCGGTGGTTGTTTCTGAGCACTGTTGATGATAATGGAATTGGGGGGCAGCTGATTGGCTGACAGTGTTATCGGCTCAGGCAGGGAGATCTCTATGTGCGAGTCATCCATGTTGGCGAAGGCATCCGGGCCCAATTGCTGGGCCACCCATTCGTTGTTCACCAGGAATGGAAGGTGCGACAGCAGTCCGCCGTTGGAGAGGTACATGGGGAATGTCAGCTGCCCGGTGGTGGCGTCCACACACACCTGACCGGCAGACGCCGCATCTACATCGGAGAGCATGGACGCCGGATCCGCAAAGTTCAGATTGAGGCCGTCGCTGGTGAAGCTCACATTGGACGTGTCCATGCCGGCCACCATTTTTTGGACACTCTCGTTGGAGTTCAGTACAATCAGCTTGGAGATGGAGAAGTTGGGGTCCGCATTGGTGCCAGCGGTGGCGGCCACAGCGGTACGAATGATGAGCGGCGTTTGCGGTGGCACAGGATCTACGGCCTGTTCTGCCGGAGGCACTTGCTCTTCGGCAGTGGGAATGACAGCAGCCGACACACCAGGAGTTTCCTCATTTGGGACATGCTCATCACCAACCACCACCTCCTGGATGATGCGATCGAATGAGGGATCCTTCTCGGTGGCCTCCAGTATGTTTTTCACCAGACCGTCCAGCATAGCGTCACAGCTTATTGTTGGATTGGTCACAGTCACCGTCTGTAGCGCCACGTTTATATTCTTCACCAGAGTCGCCTGGAAGTCCTGGTTCTTAATTATCGCACTAGCCAGTTCCTAGAAAGGACGAATTTTGATTTAATAATGATTTTTCTAACTTAAATGAGGCATCCCAGGTTGGTATACAAGTATTGAAATGTTTTCCTACTTACCGGCATGCTTTGCGGCGTAAGCACGAGAGGATCAGCCTCAGCATGACCCTGACGCGGAGTGGAATTGTTGCGCGGCCCAGGACCATTCACCGGAGGCAGCTCTTCTTCCTCCAAGTCCTCGGTGGCCGTGGTGCTCTCATCTTCTTCCTCCAGCTCCGCCTCCTGGCCCTCATGGCTGACCAGGAAGCTCTGCTTGATCTTATCGCGACTTACGCTGCAGTAGAAGTGCGGCGGCAGCAGACGAGGCCGCTTGCTGAACGAGGGCGAGGACAGGCTGTTCACGGGCGAGTGGTTGCGTCTGGGGAAGAGTGCAAAGTGGACAATGTAAATTCTGATGCACTGCCGGAGGGGAAAATCCATAATTACAAGCGCCTCCTTTTGCGATGAGACTGCGATATGCTGGGCTCGCCAGGAGTGCTACTCCCATTGGTGCAGCTGCTCTTTTCGCCAGTGGCTATCAGTTCGCTGACCCGTTCGGACAGCTTCAGTTGCTGCAGCTGCAGGCGCGACTCCAGGGGCAACTTCTGAACGGCACCGGCCACTGAAACGGAAGAGATTCGGTCAGGTTATGGAGAACTGGGCCGCGGAAGCAGAAGGTCTCACCCAATCCCGTGATCTTGACATGCTCGCAGATGATGTCCTCCAGGCCGCCGTTGAGAAAGTTGTGGGTCTGCAGGCCCTGTTTGAGGGCCAGGAACTCGTGGTGTAGGTGGGGCGATGTGCGGCACAGGGTGTGGGCCGCCCTTTTCAGATTCTGGTTGACCAGGTAGCCTGGAAAGAGCAAGCATTAATTTCCTGCTGCACGGCAAGGCAGGGGATCTCCAGGGAAATCCCAAGCGAAACGAAACGAAACTCACCCAGGACCAAGCGCGCCACATCCGAGTGCAGGACAATCGACTCCATGGCTGGACTTCCCGACTCAGCGGAGCATCACCATCCACAAGCGTCGCGCGTCCTCGTTTTTCACCTTTCCTATTTCTCCGCTTTCGATTCGGTTTGCGAGTTAATAGCGCAATTTGAACGCCCGATATTGCACTGGAGCAGGGATCGGCACTCACTATTCACTCGGATTCGGATGGGGGCTTTTTTTCGAGAGCATAAACACACTCGTCCGCTTATTTGCCTACTATTTTCGTTTTGTTGTTGCCGATTGTAGTAGGGCACTGTACAACCGACATAGGTTAGCATCTGTGTTTTTTTTGCCGCCCGCCAAAACAACGCAACAGGGTTGCCACCGCGCCGGATCATCGATATTTTTCCATTCTTCTGGCTTGCTTATCGAGTCCTGTACAGTTAGTAGAGAAATAAAGAAAATATATCCTTATATCCTGGCTTAAACAAATATATAGGCAAAAACTCCCCCATAGAAGAACAGCTCTTGTCATGTTCATGCCCTATGTGTATCCTTTAAACCATTTAACCCAAACAAACGATGTACAATCATGTATACAACAAATTAAAATCTACATATGACTTCCTTAACAAGAATTTTCTCTTACTCGAATCAAATTCTCTGGGAGCGTAAAGCGATCTAAATTCATAGAATCCTGTCTAATCACATTGTAACTCGAACCTATTGGTTTTAATTATTATCGCGACTTTAGTTTAATTAATCCAATTTCTTCTGGATATTATTTGCGCGTTAAGTTTATTTATTAGTATTTATTTTTATGAATACGCATCTTTTGGCTTTTGGCATCTTTTGGCTTTATGTTTGAAAATTACAGAAATAGTTGGTTCGAGTTCTTAAGATTCCGACGAAATTTCGAGAAATTGTGATATTAAATGGTACATATGTACATACTTACAAACATATACCGTCTTAGTTTATCTCGCACAAATCTTAAAATAAAAACATTTTAATATTTTATGTTAATATGTTATTAACAAGATCTGAAAAACAATCATAAATATATCAAAGCCGATATTTGCAAGCCAAACAACTATCGATATGTCATGTTGATACCTGACCTATCTGGAATTTACAGCTACGGAGCGTTGCCAGATGGCGGATAAAGCAAAAACCAATTGCAATAAGTAATTTCTGAGTTAGTGTTTTACCGGCGTCAAATGGCTGCCAAAAGCACCGAGAAGGAGAAGGGCGAGGGCCAGGAGCCCACCACCCCGGCAGAGAAACCAGATCCGGCCGCATCCACTGATCCCACCGAGCAAAAGGCCAAGGAGCCGGCGACGCAGGACACAACGCCGACCAAAAAGGATGGAGGCCGCAAGAGGAAGCGCCACTTGTTCAACTCCATTCGCGGCCAAATGGAGTTCTATTTCGGTGACGCCAACTTGAGCAAGGATCGCTTCCTGCGCCGCTATGTGGAACAGGATCCATGTGAGTAATGAGTAACTAGGTTGCTTCCACAGCCCATACAGTGCTTACATTTGGGTCACCTTTAGATGTACCATTGGAGATCTTTCTGACATTCAACAAGATCAAGACGCTCACCCAGGATGTGCAGCAGATAGCCAAGGCGTTGAGCAACTCCCAGCTTTTGGAATTGGACGAGACCAAGCTAAAGGTGAAGCGCAGGACCAAGCTCCCGGATCAGCGCGATGTCAACGATAAAACCCTGTATGTAGAGGCTCTGCCCGCCAATGCCACCCATGATTGGCTTAAGGAGGTGTTCAGCCGCTACGGACCGGTAGCATACGTCTCCTTGCCCCACTATCCGGGCACCAAGAAGATCAAGGAGTTCGCCTTTATCGAATTCGAGAAGAGCGGCTCCGTGGAGAAGGCAGTAAAGGCTTTTGCCCAGGTTCAAGGCGTTCTGTCCGTGGAAACCGATCCTGGCGAACTGGCCAGCGTGCGCTCATTCCAGCAACAACAGCAGCTGCAGCAGAAAGCCGATCAGCCGCAGGAGGAGGCCGATCAAGTGGCACCGCCTAAGCGAAGCCTAAAAAGAGAGGCTGGCGACAAGGATCGCGATGAAGGACAAGATGTAAAACGTGTCAAGCTAGATGAAGACCAGCCCAGCGAGATCTCCACGGCGGAGGAAACATGCAGCGAAACGGATGCGGAGGCCACGGCAGAGGCTTCAGAACAGGAGGGAAAGGCAGAGCCAACCGAGGTCGATGGAGCTGCCAGGAAGCGTCGTCGCAAGCGGAAGAAGAAGACCATTGTAGACAAGCCAAACATTGAGCCCAGTGCTCTGGAGCTCAAGGTGCTGCCCAAGACTAGTTGGAGCAGCCTGCGCAACAAGTACTTAAATCTGCAGCGTCGCCTGGTCAGCGAGGCCAAGAGCAAGCTGTGGCGGGAAAATCACCCGCAAAATCAGCAGCACCATCAACACCAACAGCACCACCAGAACCTTTCTAAGCCATCACAACTGCCCGAAGCGGCCAATGAGGAGGAAACCGGAGGCGAGGTGCCAAGCGATGGCGGCGAAGCTGCAGCCGATGCAGTTCCAGTACCGGCCAAGCGCCGCAAGGCGGTGCACAAGATGAATATGAACTTCTACGGCGCCGGCGGCGTAGAATCTACAAAATCCGAAGAGCCTTCGCAGGAACGCACACCCCTCTTCAAATACGAGCCCGGACTGATTGTGGAGTGCTCTCTTCTGGAGCCCTGCACCAATGTGAAAGAGTTCAAGGCTGACATGCGCCAGTATCCAGATATTAAGTATGTGGACATCAAGGAGGGGGATCAGGTGGCCCAACTGCGTATGGCCACTCCTTCCGCCGCCGAGGAACTGTTGCGCCAGGTCAACTGTGCCGAGAGGCAGCTAAAGGTGCTGTCTGGTCAGCAGGAGACGCTCTATTGGCGCAAAATCGAGCAGGATCGCGAGGCGAAACTCTCGAAAAAGGTGCGGGTTCAGCAGAAGCGCGGTCGCGAGAAGGTCTCCAAACTGCTGGCCAAGCACATCAAGTTCGATGAAGGTGATGATGAAGTACAGGCGGCCGCCATGGAATGAGCCAACGATCCGTTGGGGTGAGTCTACAAGCTGTACGGTTTCAGAAAACAATCTGAATCTTAAACATAAGCAAAGAAGCACAGAAGACTAGCAGTAGTACATTTAATGATAGAAGACAATGTCTGTGAAAGAATTTAATTTTAAAAACTGCCAGGAAATATGAATCAATAAATCTACTGATTTAAAGGAACCACCATTATTTATTTAAGATGTTTCCACATTGTTTTAGTAAACATAGACGTAAGATCTTTCAGGAATAAGAAAGAGATGGCAGTAAGCCTATGATCTTTTTTTTTTTTTATTTGTACGATCAAAAATATTATAAAGTATATTTTTAAATGTACTAGTTCAAAAAATCAAAAAAAAAATATAAGGAGTATATAACTAGGATACATTTTCTAATTTTGTATGTACAATCTTACAGTATACAATGGTTAAGTAAGCTTTCGTATTTATGTACATGATAATGGAAACATTTAGCTTATGATCTATATTTTTGGCCTAATCTCCCTACAGTTTTTAAACCCCAGCCCCTGTAACCCCAACTTAGATATAAAGCGAGCCATCCGCTGGCCCCAGGTAATGCATCGAGATGAGCAGGACATCGATGATGGTCCAGACGCCCAGGCCTCCGAAGCTGAACAGCTTGCCAATCCCCTCCTGCCAGTGGCCCAAGTAGAATCGATCGGCGCCAAAGCCGCCCAAAGTGAGGCTGATCAGCAGGGCGGTGCTCCAGCGATAGCCCTGCGTCCAGTTGCAGCGCAGGTTGCGGGTGAAGGAACGATTGCCCAGACAGAGCACGTCCTGGTGCACGGTGCAGTTGGTGCGGAAGGGTTTGTCCGACGCCGAGTTGCAGCTGGAGCGCTGGCCGCAGCTCTGTTGCCACAGCTCCGTTTGGTAGCAGTAGCGGCAGTTCATCTGCCGCTGGAAGCTCCGCTCGCCCTGGCACTGGACATTGTTGATCACCTCGCAGGTGACGTTCAGGTCCCGGCCGTAGAGGCAGCCGTGATTGTAGTTGCACCGGATGCAGGGAAACTGCAGGCGATCGCAGGGCGTGTCCTTGTCGTACGGGCAGAGCATGTTGTTGTTGCTGTTCCCATTGCTAATGGTGCCGCTGCTGTAGGCGGTGATGTTGTCCAGGAGTCCGCCTGTTGCTCCTCCTCCTCCTCCGCCGCCTCCACCTCCTCCGTTTTTGGCAGCCGCGCTGGACACTACTGGTGGCACATACACCTCGTTCTCATTTGCATTTCCGTTGCCATTGCCATTGCTCGCGTTGCTGTTGTCCTTGTGATCGCCTTTTGCGTCCGACAAGTCCATTTGGTTGCCCCCGCTGGCCGTCTCGCTGTTCCTGATCCCCGTCAGCACGAAGATCATTATCAGGACAATGGCCGATCGCCTGTTGATCACAATGCACTGGCGCTGGAGCCTCATTTTGGCCAGATAAAGCGGATAGCAAGCCGGAAATGTTTTTGTTTCTTTTTCGACGGGTGTGGGTGTTCTAGTGGCACTGTAGGACCGTCCACGCGTGGCACGAAAATACCAACCGGGAATTAATATTTGTTAAGGATCAAGACTGAAGAATTCGCGAGCCTAACCAATATGGCACTTGTGACCTTTGCATATATAATAATTTATTGGCTGCTCTACATATAAGATGTTTTTTTCGTTTATTTTATAATAACAATATGTTACCAATAATTTATTGAGATTTATCATAAAAACATTTAGCAAAAACTGTGTCTTTATAATGCCAACAATTAGTTGAAAACTACTTCTTTAGAGTGATCATTAGAAACTGTAGGCCTTCAGCTCATCAGATATAATTTGTTTGCTTCAGTTTTGCTTAAAATCAATTGTACATATTTTACTGTTAGTTGTTTTTAGATTTTGATGTTTTTTATTTTCCAAACCTTTTTTTTTAATAAATAGGATTTCTTTATATTTTAAATGATATTTAATTTTATTAAACAATTTATTTTGGTAGTTTAAAAAATCGATTTCGGCCTGCGATATATCGATATTACCGATTTCCCAAGACATCGATGGCATCGCTGTTGCTCCACCTCTAGCATCTGCAAAAGAAAAAAAACCAAAAAGTCGGCAAATTTTTTTGCAGCCGCAGTTTTTGCAAAACTAGTACAGACTTCTCGTTCGTTATTGGTGTTAGAAACTAACTCCAAATCGAGTGTGCAAAAAAGGGGAAAAAGGTGCAAATTCACAAGCGGCTGGAGAAGAAAACGGAACTATTGCATTGGGCCTCCGCCTCAACCCCCCTCGCCGACGCCCCTCGCCCCCTCCAATCCCCCTCTGCGGACGCCGCTGTTCGTCGTCGTGCGCTTCGTTGTTGTTGTTGTTTTACTTGGACAGCTCCATAAATTGTGTTTTCTTTTTAATATTGTTTTTGTTATTGTTGTAATCTATAACTTATCGGTTGGCACGACGGAATCTTGCGAATATATAGCCGCAATGTCGAAGAACAAGCTGAACCTGGTGCTGCCGCCGGTAAATACGGAGGCAACTGTTGCCGCGGCCACAGTGGCGCCGACGCCGCCGTTCAAAACCCCCTCGGGCACAGAGTAAATATGATACATATTACATCCCCTAATAGATTACTGGTTTTTTGGCCACCCATGTAGCCCCCGTCCGTTCCTTACCTCCCTCCCTCCCTCCACCGATCGATCCCTTCTTATTTTTTTGTTTATCACTTGGGAGTACTGTTAGGAGTCTGTGTCAGGTGGCTAATTTTTAACGGTCAATTGATTGATTCGAGGAAATTCAATCCGCCCAGGAAGAAGAAGAGGAGCAGAAGCGAGAGAAAGCTCTCTTTGGGTTTGCTGGTGTGGGTGGTAGCTCTTGGACGTGACGCACACACTCACCTACACAGTGCAGACAATGGAGGGCAAAAGCATAGGTACACCGCGGATAAAATGGAACGACCCTATGGACGTTCTGAAAAAACCAAGGTCGAAATAAAGTACATTTTCTTTGAGCTCAAAAATTCTCATCTCATTTCAATCTTGCCCCCCTGTGATCCAATAGAGAGCCAATAAATAATGTTGTCTGAATGTTGCAACCATTCTACATAATAAATTTAAATTTGTTTTAAGAAGAAAATTGATACCATTCAGACAGAAAAAAACTTGTGGAATCATATGGCATCCATTTAGAGCTGAGGAACTCTTTACTTTTGAACGAAATCAAAGTTTCCTTTATGTGTATATATATGTATATGTATTACTATTTATCAAGTCAATATTAGTCATGATTTTCAATGTCAAGGAATTATTTATTTTCCGGGTTGATTATAGAGATATATTAAGTAAGCAATTAAAAAACAATTTCTAAGATTTCAATAGTTTTGCCTAAAAAGTTATTTGCACTCAGCACCGAAATGTAGGCAATGATTTTTTACAGGCAAGGCTTTAACCAGTCTTTGTAATATTAGAGAAATAAAGCCCTTCCCTTGATCCCATCCCCCACTTTTGAATCCCCTCCCAATGCCTGCACATTACACATTTTCGTTTTGGTTCGCAAAAATTCATTAAGAGGTTAAATTAAAGCACACACAGTTTGCTGGGGAAGCCGAAGACGAGCATCGATGCGCTGACGGAGACTCTGGAGGGCTTGAAAATGGACGACACGGAACGCAAGCGGATCAAGGTGTTCCTCAGCCAGAAGGAGAAGATCGGCGAACTGTCGGACGAGGATCTGGAGAAGCTGGGCGAACTGGGATCCGGAAACGGCGGCGTAGTGATGAAGGTTCGCCACACGCACACACACCTGATCATGGCCAGGAAACTGATCCATTTGGAGGTGAAGCCGGCGATCAAGAAACAGATCCTGCGCGAACTGAAGGTCCTGCACGAATGCAATTTCCCGCACATCGTTGGATTCTACGGCGCCTTCTACAGCGACGGAGAGATCAGCATCTGTATGGAGTACATGGACGGCGGTTCGCTGGATCTGATCCTCAAGCGGGCTGGTCGAATACCGGAGTCCATTCTCGGTCGGATCACGCTGGCAGTGCTCAAGGGGCTTAGCTACCTGCGCGACAAGCATGCCATCATCCACCGAGACGTGAAGCCGAGCAATATACTCGTCAACAGCAGCGGCGAGATCAAGATCTGTGATTTCGGCGTCTCTGGCCAACTGATCGACTCGATGGCCAACTCCTTCGTGGGCACCCGCAGCTATATGTCGGTAAGTGGTCGGAAAGCTTATAAAAATATGTATGGGTTTCCTAAAATAACGTATAACCTATGGTAGAGATAGCTACAATTGATCAACTAGAGATTGAGGTTTAGTAGAATTCTGAGGGAGAATTTTTTAAAAATGCGTGTGGTATTGGAGTGCATGTGCATAAGAAAAGCCAAGCATTCAGTTGTATATGCATGGTTGGCAAACTATAAAACATTTATATCCCTCACTTGCTAATGGCTCCTTTGTTCCAGCCGGAGCGACTGCAGGGCACTCACTACTCGGTACAGTCGGACATCTGGTCGCTGGGCCTGTCGCTGGTGGAGATGGCCATCGGCATGTACCCCATCCCGCCGCCGAACACCGCGACCCTGGAGTCGATATTCGCGGACAACGCGGAGGAGGGCGGTCAGCCGACGGACGAGCCGAGGGCAATGGCCATCTTCGAGCTGCTGGACTACATAGTGAACGAACCGCCGCCGAAGCTGGAGCACAAGATCTTCTCCACAGAGTTCAAGGACTTTGTCGACATCTGCCTGAAGAAGCAGCCCGACGAGCGGGCCGATCTCAAGACCCTGCTGGTATATATCATTAGTCCCCAGCGGTACGTCGCAATTTCTGCATATACGTAAGCTTTTCCTTCTGCTCTTTTGCAGAGTCACCCGTGGATACGCAAGGCGGAAGTGGAGGAGGTGGATATATCCGGCTGGGTGTGCAAGACAATGGATCTGCCGCCGTCGACGCCAAAGCGGAATACGTCGCCCAACTAGATGCAGATGCAGCTGCAGCTGCATTCAGGCCCTCGATCTTCTATCCCCTCCCATATCCGCATTTGCTCTTTGTTCAACGTCGCGTTGACGCCGGGCGAAACAACTGAACTATTATTATTATTATTATTAAAACGAAAATAAAGAAATCGAAGTCATACCATGTAAGGCGAGTGACTCTTGTTATATGGTTGGGTAGGTTATATTTTATGAAGATGAAAATCTTAAAATTTAAAAGTATACAGATATACATTTTTAGATTTTGGTAATATTATGCTTTATAAACTAAGAAAGTATTCCCATACGATAAATTATTCGTTTTTAATTTTTTTGGAAAATGTTTTGTACTTTACGTATACAAAATCAAGGAAAACATTTAGAAAACGCATCGTCAACTTTAGTTTTCAATGTAAAGCTTTGTATTTAACCCTCACATCTATAAATTTAAAAAAATTGCATGAATACTGATAGATTCAGGGTTCATGTTCCAAGGTATTGAAAGTAAGTGTTTTCTAGTTTTCATCTTTAGCTTCTATCATTAAGCTTTGTAACTATAACACATTCCAAATTTCTAAAAATCAAAACGAAAGTTAAAATATATATTTTTTGGGGAACTCCCCTTTAAATAAAATACTGATGGTATTTTTCTGTATGTTTAAGTATATTTTCGTGAGCAGCAGTACGGTCACACTCAGGGTGCCTAGAGTTGAGCACAACAGCTGTGCAATTTGTATATAAACACATAAACTAAACACACACACACGCACAGTAGGCAGCAGGCAGTTTGATAAGCGATTTACAGTTACACATCCAGCACGCAATTCAATTCCCGGCCAATTGAGACCATTAAAAGAGCGCGGAGCGAAGGCGACACCAGTACCAGCACCAGCACCACCACACAGACAGGCAGACAGAGAGGCACGGCAACAAGACGCAGCGTTCTTTGTTGCAAATTACCGTTGGCCCCCCATTCCGCGCCTTCCAACGCCCCCTTCCACTGGCCCACCGATCCACGATCCGCCAGCCAGTAGCTTCCAGTCAGTGCTCCGATGCAGACGTCTCGCTGAGGAGGCAACAAATCGCTGGACTGGAAAGGAGCACAGCACAGCCACAGCCACAGCACAACCATGTCGGCGGTCAACCAGAAGGAGAGTCCCAGCCGGGACTCGACGGCCTCCACATCCGGCCACATCTCGATGCTGGCGGACAACACCCTGGAGTCGCTCTCGCGGGACTACAGCCTGGGCAGCCTGAACTCGGCGGGCAGCCAGGACGAGTTCTTCCGGTGCCGCGACCATGCGGACAACATCCTCAAGCGGATGCAGCTCTACGTGGATAGCCAGCAGCTCTGCGATGTGGTTCTCATCGCCGGGATCGATGGCAAGAGGTGAGTGTGGTTGATCCTTTATCATTCCTGTGGTATTTGTCACTAGAATTCGCGGATTACCGATTCCCATTCCAAGTCCTTTTGGGCTGGCATCGCTGGAAAGCAAGCAGTAGGGATCGTGTGGAAGTGGAACTCCTATTCCCGACTGACCATTCCCATTCCCTTTCCACGGAGACAAAGGAATGGAATATGGCAATTCGAATTGGAAAGTTCATTAGCAATTCTCTCCCGCTTCCTCTTTACCCCATCACCATCACCATTCCCATTCCCATGCCCACCTCCCCCTGCCCCAGCTGACCTTCAGTTGGGTTCTTTGTCTGCTCTCTTTGCTGCGCTGTCCCCAACGCAATTTCAACAGTAAACACTCACACGCACTCACACGGTGCACAGTGGTGGGCAAGACGATAGCACTGCGCGGATCTAGATCCAGGAAATGCAGCTGCGGTCAAAATAATAGCACCCGCGAAACCATCGACAAATACAGCTGCCTTAAAGCAATGTTTAAGAAATCCGGTTTCCCTTTCGAATGTTTTACTGTTTGCACAAATGTTTTCATGGAAGGAACTTTTTTTAGGTAAAAATAATCGGATACATCAATTATATCCCCTTACAGACGGTATAATATCATTTTGGAATCAATATATTTTCCAGATAGTTCTTTGATTATTTATTGGTTGCAAATGCCCATCGAAAGTTATGTTGATATTTCTACAATACGATGTAACTTAAGCTTTAAAGTAATCAAAGCACTCTTATTGCAAAAGTTACTTGTAACTACAATGGTTTATTTACCAGACAGCGTTTGTTATTGAATTGGTTTTAATTACATTATTGTTTATGACAGTCATTTGCAATTTGTTTTGCTTATCGAAAAATATGCAGATAAGCAGACTTAATTGTTTATCACAAGATTCGTAGTAATGTCAGCACTGGATAAACTAATTAGAAAGTTTATTGAACTCGAAAAAACTGCCATTCTCTTTTAAAAATATAGAAATTTTGAACTTTTTCGATTAATAATTATCTAGTAAAAACCTTGAGTTGCAAAGTTGTGATATTCCTTTTCGACCTTTGCTGTGGCGTGAACCTTGCCGCAACAGTGCAGAAAAAGAGAGAGAGAGAGCAGAAGAGATTCCGATCCCGATCCCGACTTCGAGCTTCAAAGAGAGGATCCCCATCCCCATCTCCATCTTTATTTGGTTTTTTTCTCCCCGAACAATGGCAATGCAACGCAACAGAGAGAAAATATCCGTCTCAAGAAACAAAGACGAAGACAGAGAGCATGAAAAGATATAGATATAACGATTTGCGATCCGAGTGCAGTTGCAGCTTTATTTGATTTCTTCACCCGCTCGCTGCACTCAACCGGTTTTGGATCGTGAAAACCTGTCGATCTGTGCCATGGTAAACAAAGGGAAAAGAACCCACCGTCCTACAGTTGCGGTCGCAATAATAGTAGGACAGTGCTCACTCTATGCAGTGAACTAATAAGAAGTGCGGAAAGTAACAGAATAACATTGACATATTAAAACCATAACATATATGGAGTTAATATTTTTTTTACCCCTGTGAAATTTGTATATTTTTCAAAACATTTCTCCAAAATAATTTTGTAGTTCAATTTTTATAAAATACCAAGATCCGCATTTCCCAACTACGTATAGAGGCTTAACCACAAAGTAAATTAGCACCCTAAGAACCAGAAGATCGTTCATAAATGCATACAATTGATGAATAGGTCCAATAGTCGAGCCCAAGATGCTAGTTATTAATAAGTCCATAAATATCTTTCAAAATTACTTAAAAATTTATTAAACCGATTTCAAACATGCAGAGTCCCCGCCCACCGCCTGGTGCTATCGGCCTCGAGCGCCTACTTCTCGGCCATGTTCACGGGATCGCTGCGCGAGACCAAAGAGCAGGAGGTGACCCTCGGCGAGGTCCATGGGGATGCACTGCATCTGCTCGTGCAGTACTGCTACACCGGCTTCATCGAGATGCGCGAGGACACCGTGGAGACGCTGCTGGCCACCGCCTGCCTGCTGCAGCTGACTGCCGTGGTCACCGCATGCTGCAACTTCCTGGCCCGCCAGCTCCATCCATCCAACTGCCTCGGGTTCGCCTTCTTCGCGGAGCAGCAGAGCTGCACCACGCTGCTGCGTCTGGCGCAGGCCTACACCTGCCAGTACTTCATGCAGGTGTGCCAGAACCAGGAGTTCTTCCAGCTGAACGCCGACCAGTTGGGCAAGCTGCTGTGCAGCGATGATCTCAATGTGCCCTCCGAGCAGGATGTCTTCCACAGTCTAATGTCGTGGGTGCGCCACGATTCCACTGCCCGTGAGCAGCACATCCCCGAGCTGTTGGCCCTGGTGAGACTGCCCCTGCTCCAGCCAGCGTTCATCATGGACCACGTGGAGAACGTGTGCAATGCCAACGAGTGCCAGCAGCTGGTGATGGAGGCCTTTAAGTGGCACCTGATGCCCGAGCGACGATCCCGTATCGCCACCGAGCGGACTACGCCGCGCAAATCCACAGTGGGCCGTCTGCTGGCCGTCGGCGGAATGGATGCCCATAAGGGCGCCATCAGCATCGAGAGCTATTGCCCGCGATTGGACAAGTGGACACCGTGGAAGCACATGACCGGCCGTCGCCTCCAGTTCGGCGCCGCCGTCATGGAGGACAAGCTGATCCTCGTGGGCGGCCGCGACGGGCTGAAGACCCTGAACACCGTGGAGAGTTTGGACCTGAATACGATGGCTTGGGCGCCGCTCAATGCCATGGCCACGCCCCGCCATGGACTGGGCGTGGCGCTGCTGGAGGGACCACTCTATGCGGTGGGAGGTCACGACGGCTGGAGTTACCTGAACACCGTGGAGAGGTGAGAGGGGGTCAGGATTGAGTAAGCATGCAAAAGTGAACGTTAAAATCCTTTCCAGATGGGACCCCTTTGCCCGCACTTGGAGCTATGTGGCGCCCATGTCCTCGATGCGCTCCACCGCCGGCGTGGCTGTCCTGGGCGGTCGACTGTATGCGGTGGGCGGACGGGACGGTTCCGTCTGCCATCGCTCCATCGAGTGTTACGATCCGCACACCAACAAATGGAGTCTCCTGGCGCCGATGAACAGACGACGCGGCGGCGTGGGTGTAAGTATGGCGGCAGCTCTTTGGTGATCTTTCGTAGTAACTCCTTTGACCACCAGGTGACGGTGGCCAATGGTTTCCTCTACGCCTTGGGTGGCCACGATTGTCCAGCTAGCAATCCGATGGTCTGTCGCACGGAGACAGTGGAACGCTATGATCCAGCCACCGATACCTGGACACTGGTGAGCAGGGCTCCATCTCCATCTCCGATTCTGATTCAATTCTAATCCTTCTAATCCCTCAGATCTGCTCGCTGGCCCTGGGCCGGGATGCGATTGGCTGTGCCCTGCTCGGCGATCGCCTGATCGTCGTCGGCGGCTACGATGGCAATCATGCGCTGAAGAGCGTGGAGGAGTACGACCCGGTGCGGAACGGATGGAACGAACTGGCGCCCATGGGCTTCGCCAGGGCCGGCGCCTGTGTGGTGGCCATTCCCAATGTCATACCGCCGGCGGCCCAACAGCCGCCGCCCAGTGCTACAGTTTAGTCTAAACCCACTCCACTTTCGGTTGCAGTGTAGGCTCGTTGAATGCATCGCTAGTGGGTACGGTTTACGGGTATGGGCTTGTATTCCGGGTTAATAGGAAACTTTCTAGGAACTAGTTGCATTTAATATCCAGCCAAATTTGCAATTCATTAGCTCAAACTTGAGTTAACTAGACATTTCTGATAAAGAAATATGATTCCTTTACCTATAAAATATAGTATAACAATATTTTGGTTCAAAATGATGGGAGATCTACCATAAAATCCATTCCATAAATTTGTAGCTTACTCATAGATATTTTTTTCCTCAGAAATGCAAGTGCATTATAAAAAATACATTTCCTGTACAAGACTCATGATTTTAGACTTCAAATATCATTCCACATTTGCAAAATTATACAATAATTACTTCCTTTGAGTAACCAGAGAATATATCTAAATTGTTTTCATAGTTTATTTAAAGCACTCCTAGATTTTAGAAAGGTTAGATCGAAATTCGATTTTTGAGTAGCTGCACCTGAGCCTGAAAGCGATGCACTTAGCGAAAACACACTGCACCCAGTTCTATAGTAGTTGTTGTTACTGTTGCCGTGAGCTGCTCGTGGTTGTTGCTCGTGTTCCCTAACCCGGAAAGTTTGAAAATGCAGCTCACCTTCGCCTCGCTCTCGTCTGTGTTCTGACATGATTCCCTGTGGTATGGCATACACCCAGAATTCACCAACTTCCCGCACACCCAGCACACCCTGTACTTCCTGTAAACCCCCCACTTTTCGGCTGCTATCTAAAAATAAGTGAACTAAAACTAAAATAATAGTAATAACAAAGACCCGGAGAAATCTCATAGGTTCTAAGAAGTGCATGTTGCGAGGCTTCCAATCCTAAAATCGATCCCTAGTTGTAATTAACCAACGTATTTTACACGATCTTCTAGATTTTAAACATCCTCCATCCCTCTCACTCCCATGGTGTCGTACGCTTCACACAACGCATGCCATCTCGCTCGCACCGGTGACGGGCCCACATTCCATATATTATATCGTATATATTCTAGATAAGACTGCGCCAAGCCAAAATTTCCAAACAAAATTGCTCATTTTTGCATGTGAAGTGTGCGAAACCATTAAAAAACGAAAACAATCAAAAAAGACAGCTGCAATTGCTTAGTTTTAGTTAGTAAATACGTATGTATTCCATGGAATGATTAAATTTCGACCTCTGCATCGTCATTTTGTACCGATATTACTTAGTAAATCTAGATGTGTGTGTGCGTACATCGAGCATTTATTTCTAATTGTTTATTATGTTTTTATTTCTTTCTTTTCCCCTTTCCCTTCGATTGCATTTAAAAAAAAAGAAAAAGAAGAAGTGGAAGCCAGTGAGATTGGATCCAATCTGCTATAATAGGCGTCCCAGATCTGTCGAGTTTGTCGACTACTATAACATGTAAATGCAAGACAGACAAGACAACAAACAAAGCAAACTATAAACATTAAACTATAAACATTTAAGCCAAGCTACAAAAACACAAGAAAACGTAAAAAAAATTAAAAAGAATCCAAATATTACGTATTATTTTATATTTACACATATATATATTTTTACACAAAACATACACTGCATAAATGTATACACTGGATATGTATTTTTTGTAATAAAAGCGAAAATAAAACAGTTATTTCTCTGCAGATGCAAGTTTGAACATCGAAAATTATACGTTTTTTGATTTAGACGGTTATCAATGGGTGTTATTAAAGAAGGGGTAAAAAAAAAGTTGTTTAATGGTTGATTCAAATTTGTTATAACAAAAAGGTCGGAAAAATAATATTTTAAATATAACTGACATTCCATGACTTTATTATAACAATAACTTTTTTTTGCAGATACAAAAAAAAGATATGCAAGATAACAGCAATCCCAAGACGTTTTGGAAGTCTATGAGTCAAAAACCATTTTTTTTGTATGATGAAACTTATATAAATCTCAAAATCTGTTTTCAGCGGCAGCTACACTCCAATAATTTTGGAGTCCGGTTGAAACCTTTACTTGTGTATAGGATTTTTTCTACAAAAAAAGATTGAAGTAAAGATTTGAGTTAATATATATTAGCTTATCCAGTTTTTAATTGCTGCGTTAAAAGCTAATTTGTTAAATTAAAGCTCTACAATTTCTGTTTTTAAATATTTAAAAAAAGAGTACCGTGCTTAACCGATACTTGTGTAACTTTCGATAGTCGAGCAGTCCGGCAACGCCGCGTGGTATATATCAACGACCGCGACGGGGTCACACTGGTGGAAATTAAAAAATTAATTTAATTAACCCAAAGGACTTAAAGGCACCCTCAACGAACGGCCATCGCTGGCGACATGGAAGCGGAGCACCTGAAACGTCTGGAGGCCAAGGAGGTGGACCACATCCCCGCCATCCTCGGCGAGTTCAACACGAAGGTGAGTAATCTCGCAGAGAATCCCGATGATTAAGACCCCGGACCCCTCCCTTTGGAATCTTTCGCCCACAGAATGCGGACCTGCTGATCTTCGACAGCTTCCGCACGGACAACCAGTGGCACGAGCTGTGGCTGGCCATCTTTGGCATTCTGGAGGACCAGCAGCTGAGTCACTTGCATCCGCAGTGCCTGAATACGGTGAGGATTCTCACGCGCGACGAGTTCAGCCTGCAGACGAACTACATCGAACAGGAGGTGAACACGCTGCTCCGGCTGGCCAGGATCGAGGCGGGCTCCCTTAAGCTGCCGGCCACCCCGGATGAGCTGAAGCAGCAGGAGCGCGAGGAGCCGCCCAGCCAACTGGACGAGCCCAGCCAGGCCCAATCGGAGGTGATAGCCGAGGCGCTGAAATGCCTGTGCAACCTGGTCTACCAGAGCTCCGACTGCCGGCGCCAGTGCCTGCGACAGCACTGCCTCGACGCTATCCTCAAGCGGGTGGCCTCCTCGATGCGCCATCCCTGCGCCCTGGAGTACTACGACATGAAGCTGCTCTTCCTGCTGACTGCCCTGGAGCCGGCGGCTCGGTCCCGCCTTCAAATCGATCTCAATGGCCTCACCTACATGACCAAGTGGCTGGACGACAAGCTGGGCGAGGAGACCGCCGGCGAGGAGCAGCTGAACATAATTTGCGAGCTGCTCAAGGTGATGTTCAATGTGACCAGTGCCCCGGACAAGAGTCCCAACGAGTACGAAATCCAGAGCTTGCATTTGACGGGAGTGCTGCGGGAGCTGCTCCTGCGCTTCGGCGACATGGCCACAGACAAGGACCGGGCAGTGGTCACACACGCCATCAATCTGCTGACCAACATATCGGGCAGCTGCCTAACCGAACTCACCCTACGCTGCTCCAATGCCGAGGTGGAGTCCCTCAAGGACAGGGAGCAGGACAAGGAAAAGGAAAAGGACGCGGAGGCAGGAGCCCGAGCAAAGCCGCGCCAGTGCTGCTCCCAGTGCTTCGAGAAGCGCAATGTCCGCAGTCTGGACATTCTGCTCCGGTATCTGCGGCAATCCCTGGCCCAGCAGGAGGCCGAGGCCAGCTCGCACGAGCTGCTCTCGCCGGTGCTGACCGTGCTGGTGAAGTGCGCCCGCAGCGACCGGGTGATGCGTCACTATCTGCGGCAGGAGATTCTGCCGCCGCTCCGGGACGTGAGCCAGCGTCCGGAGATTGGCCAGGAGCTGCGCAACCATCTGTGCCGCTTCCTCACACTGCCCGCCATGATCCTGCGCGATCTGTCCGCCGAGCTGCTGTTCGTACTTTGCAAGGAGGACGTCGGACGGATGATCAAGTACACGGGATATGGCAACGCGGCCGGACTGTTCGCCAAGCGGGGCATACTCGACTGCCGGCGAGTGGAGGGCGCCGACTACTCCTCGGATAGCGAGGACAGCGACACCGAGGAGTACAAGCAGCAGCAGCAGGGCATCAATCCCGTGCTGGGCTGCGTCGAGCCGCGCAGCAGGTCTCATTTGGACGACATTAGTGAAGAGCAGAAGGAGTACGAGGCCCTGCAGCTGGTCAATCTCATCGAGCAACTGCGTCAGGGCGGAATCGTCAAGCCGGCGCTGATTGACAAGGATGGGCGGCCGCAGCCGCTGGAGCACATCCTCCAGCTGCAGGAGGAGCTGCCGCAGCAGCAACTCGACCAGAAGCGGAAAACCTAAGCCTGAACCGAATCCCGGGATCTGCTATGGCACAACTTCCAAAAAGCTACCAAATAATCACCCTACACTGCATTTATTTAATAGGTATACTATCGAATGTAGCTTTGAATGTGTTCCAAAACCAGAATGGCTTCGCATTGCTTTCGCTTAATTGTTATATGTTTTATCTGTCGTTAAAAATAAGGATCAAATTGCGAATTTTAGTTAATGATTACTAAATGACATTGCTCCGAGAACATCTCATTATAATCCCACAAGTTTGTATTCAATAACGAAGTATTCTCGTTTGGATTTCCATGCAAAGCTATAGGTACTTAATCATTTAATTCGATAATGATTCACCTGTCTTCTAAATGTTGTAGCTAAACTATGTATTATTGCTAGTGCTAGCTAAAATCATTATAATCGATCGTATTAGAAACAATTTGTAGAAATAATCTCTCACCTTTTATAAATTATTTAGCTATGAGTTTGACTTTGTTCTTTTTGCCATCTAGTTTTGCCTACTGATTTGTTCAGCAATTTGGAGTTAATACCATAGCATTCCTTCCCATAGATAATGTACCGCTTGAATCGATAACTAAATGCAAAACAATCGTTGGGGTCTTCCAATTCCAGGAAGTGGGAAGCAGATCAACATAAACGAAACGAAAAGAAACCAAAACTGAATTATATACACAGACGATCGCGCATTGATCAACAGATAGGCAAATCTCTGACTAATCTTTGTAGTACTTAAGTGCATGTATTTATAAAAATCCCACTTTTACACTTACGATCTAAGTACGGGCTGAAAGAATGGCTCCTATGCGGATTCTCGGACCTAAAAACTGTCTTATAAGACCTATTTCATACCTGGCTCCTAAATTATAAACTCTATCGTAACACTAACTGTAACTGTAGGATCTAGCTAAACTAACTAAAAAGTGTGGCGCCTTTGGTTCCCACTCATCCTCAAATTGTTTGTATCCAAAGCTATTCTATGTTGTAAATTCCGCATCAAGAGGGTAAAGAAAGGATTCTGAAACTTCAAAAGTCACGTGTCTTTGATCTATATACAGGAAATCCTATATAGAGCTTTATTGTGTTCAATTTGCTATAGCGATAGAAGACCTAAATATATACAACATACATCAGAACGTAGTAATATTTGTTGCCGTTAATGTGTGTGCGAGTCTTAATGTGCGTCTATCCTAAGCTTAATAATAAATCAATCAACGTCTTGCTAAATCAATCGAACTACCTATTTTTCTATCCATTGGAGGCGATGCTTCGGAAATGCATATGTCTTTGTAGTATGAAGAAATGGGAAGGCATTAGATGTTGGAAAGACAGGATTAGACCATCCAATTAAAGAATAAAAAAAAAACTTACATCCCTTATTATCAATTATTAAAAAAAAAACAATATTCCGATTGACTCTTAAGATTAAAGGACCTAGGAGGACCAATATTGGTTCGTAATATATCCTATCAGAAAAAAAATTCTGTTCTCTTAGGAAATAATATACTAGGAATAGGAGAAATTAATACTATTTTCAAAACCATTTTCAAACATTGATCTATAACCTTATGTCAAGGATTCCTTAACCAAATCCCCAGAGAAAAGATTACCAAAGATTCACTAATGCACATGCGTATATATTGCGTCAAGACTGGGACAATTACCCAAGAACAGTTCCGCTGATTCCTTGAGAGAAGTTCGCCTCCTGGATGTCGTTCTCCCGCAGTCGCATGGGATCGTAGCGAGGACCGCTGGCGGAATGGTGGTGATGATGGCGGTGCACCTTGTGGTGGAGTCCCAGGGTCTCGTGCTGCTTCCTGCAGGCTTCCAGCTGGGCCTTCAGGCGCTCCTGCCGTAGCCGGTGCTCCTGGAGGCGCTCCTCCAGCTGTCGGGTCTTCTCGTTGCGCTCCGGGTGCACCGGCTGGTCCCTCTGCCTTTGCCGCGCCTCCTCCAGCATGGTGTATTTGGGAAAGTAGTTGGCATACTGCGTGTGGTGCGGGTAGTTCCGCTCCTGGGACAACTCCGACCCGGACTCGCGTCTCCCGCTGTCCGGCGACGAGGAGTCACTGGCCACCGGCTGTTGGTGGAAGGGATGATAGCAACTGGCCCGGTACACATTGGCCAGATCGGGAATGTCGAACTCATTGGTGTCGTCGCGGGTCAGGAACTCTTGAAGCTGGCGCTGCCGCTGCTTCTGCTGCTCCCGGCGGAAGAGCTCATACGACTGGGAGCCGGGATCCCCACTGCCCTCCGGCAGGGGTTTGCCATCCCCCTCCTCCTCCTCCTCTGGCTCCGAATCCTTGTGGGGCTGGAGTTTCTTAATGTGGTACCGCAGGTTATTGTGGTTAAGCAGATCCTGGTGGTCCTGGACGAAGTTCACCAGCTGCTCCTTGCACTTCGCCATCTCGGCCTCCAGGTGGTTGATCCTCTGGCGATAGCAGACGCTCACGCCCGCGGGCAATATGCCCGGGTTGTCCTCCTCCTCCCGCTCCGCCGGCACCGAGTCGCCGCCCACCCGGTCCTTGTCCTGATTCTTGTTCTTCTTCTTCTTCTGGGTGAGCTTCTCCACCTTGCGGGCAATTTCGCTGAAGGCCTTGGCCGTCGCCTCCTGCTCGGCCATCTCCTCCAGCTGCTCGCGCTCCTCAGCCATCAGCCGGAGGTTCTCTGCCACCTGCCTCCTCTGGAGATTCATGCGCTCCCGCTTCTGCCGCTGCATTTCGAGCACCCGCATCTTCTCCTCCTGGATTTCCAGCCGGCGGCGCTCCATTTGCTCCTTTTCCCTCTTGGTAGCCTCCACTTTCTCCCTGGCCTTGATTTCCTTGCTCAATTTGGATCGCAGGGATCGATTCCTTTGCAGGGCCGTCGACTCCTCCGCCACCGGAACACTCTTCGCTGGAGAACTATCGGTGGTCGTGGTGTTGTTGTTAGTGGCGGTGTTGGGCATCTGGGCCTGGAGCACGGCCTCCATATTGGCCTTCGCCTCGGCACGGAACTTGCCTTGGGCCTGGACCTGCGTCTGCCACGCGGTGGTCTTCTTGCGCGGCACAGTGGCCGCTACGGCAGCCAATTCCCGTTGGAACACCATCCGGTGTTGCCGGCACTTGGCCAGGTGCCGTTCGGCCAACGACAGAGCTGCTCCGGACTTAGCTAGTCGAGCCGATGGCGCCGGTGGCTCTGCCCGGATGCCATCCTTGGAGGGGGGACGTGCCTTCGGCAGGGTCGAGCAGGAGGATGGGGCCACCGGCTGGAACGGCTTCGTCTGCTGGACGATCCTGCGGGTCAGGGTGTTCGCCTCCGGCTGATGCAGCTCCATCTTCCTGTCCGCCTGGCTCGGCTGGTTGGCACTCAACGTCCTGGGGGAGGAATGGGGATGAGTGGAACACAGGTGATTCTCCCGGCGGGGAGGTGGTAACTCAAAACAGGGTCTACGGTTGGGTTGGGTATAGTGTGCTTGCTCTAGGGAACTAATATATGGTCCCTTGAACTATATCCTAATACTTTTTCTAAGGAAGTTGGGATCACAAGATCATTCGGTATAGTTTGTAAGGTGCTTATATAATTCTTTTTTATGACATGCTTAATAATATTAAAAGCATTAAGCTCTATTTAATACCTTATCAAGGTACATACCTGAACAGGTTCCAGATGCACTGCATCCTGGAGTCCAGTTCCAGTATGATGACATCCCCACATGTCCCCTATGATCACTCCACAAACACCAACATCTACACATCCATTCGCGGAAACTTCCGGTCAACTGATATATCGGTTGACCATAGCAGCATGGTCATGAATTTGATGCTAGTACTAATTGGGAATTACAAGTAGTCACTAAAATTGTCGATGACGTGGTCAATTTTTCAAATTTACAAAATCCACGCCATCGATATTGTTAATATTTTTAATTTTAAAAACGATGCCCTGAGTGGGTAATTAAAATTCCTAACTATTTCCGGTACAAATAGATAAGCGGGGATGTCATCATACTGGAACTGGACATAGTGCATCAATAACCTCTCCAGTCATGTACCTATTTAATATTAAATTGGAAATTTTTAATAAAGCATTACTTAAAATAGAGTGGGTTATTTTAAATCATTTTTTCCCCCAAAACTTAATATAATTATGGTCTTATTATTATAAGATTATTTTCGACTTGACATTACAAGTATTTGATGTTTGATATTTGTATGATAAACCAATTTTCTTACATTATAAACTTAAGATCCTTAATATTACACTTTCTTACAGTACATACTTATAGCTAAGCATTTAACAAGATCTTAATATAGTAAGATATACGAAAATTAAAAATATTATAATAGAAAATGTGACCCTAGCATTTAAACTTATTCTACAAAATATATAGTGGTCCTTCGGTCTTCTTGCTAAGGATGCCTATTCCTATTCAGCTTGGTGTTCTATTGGCTCTGGCGCGGATTGAGGCGCCTAGGATGCGGCTGTCGGTGCCTGGAACGATGCAGTCGCTCCTTCAACGGGGGGTTGTCTTTCTCTGTTGACTCCGTGGAGTCCTCGCGCTCCTTGGAGGTGTCCTGCTGGCAGAGAACGGACGTGGTTGTGGCGGCCGTGGAGGTGGCGCGTCTATGCTAGGGACGACGGTACCTGGAAGAGGGGACGAGCAGCTAGAGAAGCTCCACCAGCCCTCCCCAAACGACAGCCCCCTAACCAGCAAAGATCCCAACCCAAGATCCCCGAGGAACTCACCTGGTCCGCGACACCACTCGCTGGGGCTTCGTGGAGATCTCCCGGATGCTGGACGGCGTGGCATTGCTGATCGTCCGGGCACTGCCCCTCGACTCCCGGCCCACCATGTCGTACAGGCTGCTCCGGTACTGGTCCACCCCGTAGCGCACGTCGTCCTTCAGCGGCGGATGGATGTCCACGCGGAGCTCCATATCCGCGGAGGAGGTCCGGAAGCGACTCACATACGGATGCTGGATGGCCGCCTTGGCCGTCAGCCGTCCGTGGGGATTCAGGACCAGGAGGGCCTTCACCAGCGATATGGCGTCGTCGCAGCAGTTCCTCAGCATCTCGTCCAGCGAATGGCGGCGGTCGCGGTGGATCTTCTTGCTCAGCAGGGCGGTCCCGAAGCTGGCTCCGATCGACTCGATGTCCCGCTGGGTCACATCCGGCAGGGCCAACACGATTTTCTCTATCTACAAATGGTTATTACCCCAAAATCCACTTTATTAATTTGCGCTCATTGGGTTCCGGTAAACTTCTCGGGTGCCATAACGCCCAGTGAAATAAACATGGGCGCTATTTCGCTGCCCGTTATTGCATGCCCTTAAACTCCTCACCTGATTGACAGTGCTGGTGCCTTGGAACAGGGGTTTCTGTCTTATCATCTCGCCCAGAATGCAGCCCAGACCCCACATATCAATGCCTTTGGTATAACTGTAAAAATAATTTTAAGATTAAGATTAAGATTTTTGAGAAGTTACAATACACAATTTTTTGGACCAAGTTACGACTGGAAAATTGCAAAAAATTCCTTCTACCTATTTTGTGATCCAAACAAACTATGTTTTTTGGCAATCATTTTGCGAAATAAGGTCGGAATATGGAATGCCATACCTCGTTGAGCTCGTAATTAAATTTCCAATCGATTGGCAATCAAATCCGGAAACTTTAATTTTTGACCGATTTTCGCAAAAATATACGATGTTACCCCTTATGAAAAATGTGAAATTTAGTCAAAAAATAAATTTTCCGGAATGTGATGCGGATCGGAAGCCTATGTTTTTAGCTGCTCAAAACAGTCGGTCTTTTAGCTGTGCGCCTTCTTTTGACCAAGTTACGACGGAAAAACTTAAAAAAAATATGGGTTTTTTGTCTGAAATCATTCTCCCTATTTTTTGACCCAAACAAACTACGTTTTTTGGCAACCATTTTGCGAAATAAAGTCGGAATCGGGAATGCCATACCTCGTTGAGCTCGTAATTAAATTCCCAATCGATTGGCAACCAAATCCGGAAACTTTAATTTTTGGCCGATTTTCGCAAAAATAGACAAAAAAAGTGAAATTTAGTCAAAAAATAAATTTCCCGGAATGTGATGGGGATCAGTAGCTTAGGTTATTAGCTGCTCAAAACAGTTAGTCTTTCAGCTGTGCTCCTCGTTTTGACCAAGTTACGATTGAAAAACCTCAAAACAATAGAGCTATTTTTGAAATCCCTCTAACCATTTTTCGACCCAAAAAACCCAAGGTATTTTGGCTAGATCGACTCGGCTAGTGATCATGTCGGAACGCTTCCTTTTACTGTTACATACTTTCCGACGAACATAGTATACCCTTTTACTCTACGGGTAACGTAAAAGTAACGTGAAAGTATTGATCCGGAAATCAAACGTGTGTTATAAAAAGATTTCTAATTTAGATTTTTAATTTCAATCAGGTGTGAAATGATGTACCTAGGGTACTCACTTTCGACTAGCCACTAGAATTTCGGGGGCGCGATACCAACGGGTGGCCACGTAATCGGTCAACATGCCCTGGTGGTCCATATCATCGAACTCGGCCTTGCGTTTGGTGGAAAGCGTGCGAGCCAGACCGAAATCAGCCACTTTGAGTCTGGAAAAAGGCATTTAGAAATGCATCTATGAGTTACCAGATGGTCGGGAGTGGTTCTCGCCTATCCAATACCTGCATTTGCTATCTATCAGTATGTTACTGGGCTTCAGGTCCCTGTGGATGACGTTGCCCGAGTGCATGTACTTGATGGCGTTGATCAGCTGGTACATGACGAATCGCTTGTGAATGTCCTTGAGGACATCGCCCTTTTTGATCACATTATGCAGGTCGCTTTCCATGAACTCGAACACCAAGTAAAAGTCTAAATTGTTGCCAGCCCTGCATGATGAGAAAGGGAATAGCTATATAATTATATTTTAAAGGATTTGCAGGACCACCCACTTGAAGACATCCATCAGCCTGATGATGTTGGGATGGTGGCGAAAGGCACGCAGAAATATCACCTCGCGGTAGGTGCGCTGGGCATCGGTTTCGTCACGAAAAGCATCGAATATCTTCTTCAGGGCCACGGTGTCCTTGTTTCGCTTATCAGTGGCCTTCCAAACGATGCCGTAGGCACCTTTCCCCAAGCGCTAAATGAATTGTTTAATATTATTATGATCTATGTATGAGAGCTTGGAAATACCAATACACTTTTACAATAAAGGCACTCACAGTGTCCTAACAAAACTCAAACTGTTAAGATTAAAGATATTCAAATCAAGGTTAAGGATTGGTACTAAATGGATCCTTTCTTAGGTATAAATAAAAAAAACGAACTCTTAACGAAGTGCTTATTTCTTTGGTTAAATTAATTTCAAAAATTTTAAAATTAATTTTCCATACAAATATTTGCATGATTGAACATGATTTTTTCTGAACAGAACTTGTTCTCACCTTTCGGACATCGAAGACGCGCTCTACATTTTGGTCCAGCTCATGGATGCGACGCTCGTGAGCGGGAACGTTGTGTTGGTGGGCCATTGGCTGCTCCTTCTCCTTCTCCCGCTCCTTGACCTTGTCCTTGTCTCTGTCTTTGTCCCTGTGCCTATCCTTGTCCCGGTTGTGGACCCTGTCCTTGCGAACCTCCTGCTCGCCGGGATGCTGGGACTTCTTCTTCGCCAGCTTCGAGGTGTCGACGCACCACCAGCTTCCCGAACTGGCGACCTTTTGGAGAGCTCCACCCTGCAGGGCAAGGCCTCGAGAGGTCCACCACGAAGCAGCTTCCCTGTGGGAGGATGAGATGGAGATCAATGGTCACCACTAGCTGGCATCCACAGCCACTTCCACTTCCACTTCCACTGTGGCTGTTGCTGTTGCGCGTGGCAGTGGCAGTGGCGCCCGAGTGGTTTTGCGGCTCCAACTGGAGCATCTGGGACCCTCGTCCTCGTCCTCGCGTGCTCGCTCCCATATGCAAACGGCATCAAGTATGTAAAATAAAATTAAACGGCAACAAAAAAAATACAAAACTCCACAGAGGAAAAAAAAAGTAATGAGGAAAACTTTTTCATAAATATATTTTGAATATTCGATAAATCAAAATTTGTATATTTAGTTATTTTTAAAGTTTTTGAGGATCTAAATATATGCGAAAATTCGTTGAATTCTATTTAATAAATATGTATTAAGTTTTCAATTTTAAGAGCAAGTTATTTAACAAAAATTGGACGATCTGAATATATTGAAAAATTGTGTAAATTCTACTTTGTAAATATATATTAAGTTATTTGTAGAACATTTAGCGATCTCAATAGAAATATAAATATACTAAAATATAGTAACACAAAGAATTTGATTTTACACCTTCAATAAAATACCAATATTGATGGGGTAAGTGGGATCAATCAAATGGCTTTTTTCGTGAGAAATGATCATCGCTTTCTCTCTCTGCATGCAAATGCACCGGAAACGGAACAACGGCCATAACGGGAGCACAAATAAAAAGCGAGAAAAAATAGCAAACGAATAAATAAATCGCGAGGCGGACCTGATTGAAACCGAATTATTGTTAGATCGATCGGGGAGAAGGCGAAAGCGAAAACGAGAGCCCCAATTGGATGGCCTGGCTATGCCTACAGTGGACCCTCAAGTGCCCAGGGCAACGTCATGGGCAGTGGGACGCCGTTACAGCAAACCAAGCCGAACCCCATGGATATTACTTCATTGTTGATCTTATATTTTTTAGTTAAACATAAATGTTACAATTATCTTATAAGATGATATATTTTCTTTAATAATTTATTCAGATAAATATGTATGTTTTTTTAAGTAATGTTAGTAAGTGTAAGTAAGAAATTGATGATCAACTTAGGAATTTCTTTTATATTTTTGTAGGAAACTATTTTTTAAATCAAAAAAATATAAGTATAGAACAAAATATCGGGGTGTTCGCTGTATTACTATTACTATTACTTCGCCTACTTCAATTTTGGTTGCTTTTATTAGTGTTGCTGCAGGAAACGCCGCAAAACAATCAAATGTAAATACATGGCATGCAATCTGACTGAACCAAAATCACCAAAAAAACATGGCAAATGAATTTGTTTAACAAATAAATAGGCACAAGTACACTCATATGGCAAGGGTAACACAGGACAACACAAATCAAGCTAAATCGATCATAAGTTTATATCATGCATCATAACTATGAAGTCACATTTGTTAACTATGAAAATATGTATGTACATACTATATACTGATGAATTCTTATCTCATTGAAATTTGCTATTCACAATAATAGGCTATAGGAAAACTGGCAATATAACTAGAAATTAGACCGAAAATTATGTTATATGCGCTGGAAAGTAGGCACCTTAAGTTGCAGGATCGTGCGCCTTGAAATGCAACCCTGTTTTGAAGTTACTTTGCTAATAACTAGATAAACCAACTGAAAGGATCAAATCCAATGAAAATAATTTGACTTTCTTAAATTTGTAGGTTGTTATTGTATCCCCTGATAAATTGCATAATATCCAACCGAATTTATTTGGACTTTGGTCCAATATACTTATAAAAGTAGGTAAACATTTCCAGAAAATCAGCTCTCTGTTGGGTAGTGTATCCCCAAAACAACAGCAACAACGGAGGGATTGAATTTGGCACAAAAGTTTTGAAGTGGAGCACGTCACTTACCCGTAAAAGGAGGCAGGATTCGCAGGATTCGTGGGGTGGTGGGCTCACTAGGAGTCGATGGATATGTGGGGATTGCAAGTCAACTGGCAATTTGCACAATAAAAATACAAAATATATATAATGAGGAACGCAACGCGAATCACAAGATGTAACCAGAACTGCAAGAGAGCGGGACTTTCGGTTATATGGTTTCCAAAAATCTGGGGGTACTCCTTCTGGGACAAACCTGCAGTCAATGTGGTGAGCTGTCCTCAAAGTTCTCCGAGAAGCAGTTCAGGAACACAGAAAACGAAACGCGTAAAACAAATGCCACACACAATCCTTTTCTATCTGATCCTGTTCTGATTTGATGTTCTACCAAACTCTAGATCTTCTCTCTTCGGTTTTCGGGGCTTCCCAACTCCTTCAACTCCTGTTATAGTCCGTGGAATTTGTTTGTAATTTACGTGGTTGCTGTTTCTGTTTATCGGCTCTTGTTGTTGTTTTGTTTGTTATAACACCGATTGAGTTTTCGGTTCAGCTGCCGCGACTTGAAAATTTTAATGTTTCACTCGCGGACCACGCGCGTTTTAATTTGCACAGATTTTATTGGAATTGAAAATACGGATATTCTAGATGCGGAACGCGGAAGGACGTGTCCATATGACCATGTGTGGATGGTGCCTCCGCCTGTCACGCCTCGGTCACGATTTTACAAAGTAAAAGATTCGAACCAGATACAAAAAAAAAATGTGTGTGTTTGACTATTTTGGAATCGGGTCTTGTGTGAAGTAGAAAAATTCCGGACTATAACTGGCATGATCGTCAGCTCGTCTGTCGTCCGACAGCCACAAATCGCCACGACTACTTGCTCATATCGTATGTAGATCCTATCCTATCCTCCGTTCCGTTTCCGATTCGTTTGCAACCTAGACTGCACTTCTTTCCTGGGTCCCGGGCTGTCATCCCTTCGATGTCCTGCTCCCTCGATTCCATTCCATTTTCGAGGTCCTGCCGTTTCCAATGGTTGCCCCCCGCCTCTCTAAAAAGTTTCCTGGTGGACCCTTGCTTGTCATTCACCCTAAGCCTATTTCACATATTAACAGTGCCCTTTCCTTACTTGATTACAGATATAAATAAATCTATCCTTAGTAACAAGGTGTATCTATGCGTAGAAATCGGTAGGTAAACGTTGAAAGCGTTTATTAAATTTCTTTTTGATACAAAAATATGTAAGGTTGTAATCAAGTTACTAATTTTTTCATATTTAGGTAAAAATATATAATTCGATTTCATCACTTAGTGAAAAAATACATGCTTGACCTTAAGAGTTTAAGCATGTATTTTTTTTTAACTTGAAATATAGAACTACCTGATTTGATCAAATGTACCATGACATTTTTATTTTATATCTTATACTAATATTTTCTATACAACCTATAGATAATAATAGAGGCGCTTAAAAAATATGAATTTAAATTATTCAATTACACCTAAATGTAAACCCAAGCTTGATTTCCAAATTTACAGCAAAAAAAAAACATTTAACAAAAAATAATTTATGAACAGAAAACTTAGAATTCCTTGGAACAAAATTTGAAAATTTTCCGCCTAAATTTACGTACATAATTCAAGAAAGCTTAAAGTTCAACTTAAGAAACTACTTTACTGAGATTAAAATACTTAATGCTATAACAAATACTCAGAGTATCTACAGAAAATACAATAGTTCACTTAAAAGTACTTTAGACAAGACGAATGATTTCCCTGCGCGAGCTGGCCGAGCGTGGCCTTTCCCTTTTTTATGGGCAGGTTGCTATCAATAAATGCATATTTGATGCTTAGTTTTCAATAACAAACATGGGCGTACCCCGATCCTGGCGCGTAGCAACCTCCTTCTTGCCGGGAACGGGAACTCAACAGCCGGCGAGTGTGTTATCCGGTTGCCCGGAGGAACGCGACACCAGAGACATGCTTCTCCTGCGGAGTGGGTGGTAAGTGAAAAGATTGCTGGGCTCTCGTACAAAAGGGTTTCTTGCATGTCAGTTTATTGCTTGCTTTAACTACGCTTAGAGGAATGGAAATCTATGGCTTTCGCTGCAGGTAGATTACTTTAGTTTGCTGATTTAGCAAGGCTTGCTGCTGCTGCTGTTGCTGTTGCAGTTGCTGGAGTTGCTGCTGCTGCTGTTGCTGTTGCAGCTGCTGCTGCTGCAATTGCTGTTGCTGTTGCAGCTGCTGCTGCTGCAATTGCTTTTCCTGGTACTGTTGCTGCTGCGCCAGCATCTGTTGCTGGTGCGCCTGCCGACGCTTCTGTTTCTCGAACTGGGCCAGATGCTCCTGCTGCTTGCGCACCAGCTCGTCCATCACCTCGTGGTTGTATGTGGAGTGCAGCATCAGGCCCAGCAGATTGGCCCGCGAGGTCAGCTGCTGGCGCAGCATGCGCTCCTGCTCCATCAGGTCGTCCATCTTGAGCCACTGACGCACACGCTCCAGATCGATCTCCGCTCGCCGGATCTTCTCCCACGCGTAGTGCTTAAAACAGTTCTTTTTCGGCGCCCGGCAAAATTCGCCAGTGGGGTTGAACGCGTTGTTCACCAAGGGTGAGCCGCACACATCCGTGTCGTTCACCTTGGGATCCTTGCTGTGCTCGGGACACAGTACCCTTAATCTTTTACAGTACGTCTTACTTGCTGGGTTGTAGAAATCACAAAACATATTGTTGCCCTCCATGCGCGTTTGGAATATACTGCCGAAGCTGGCCTGCGATTCGTATTTGTTGAAGCACTTCTCCATGTGCTTGATGGCCGTGCGCGAGTGAATCTCGTGGCCGCAGGTGATGCAGTACATGCTCTGCTCGTCCTCCGCGTCCCCGGTGTCGTGTGGCCCCATCGCGTCGATGGAGCTGCGGTTGGCCCGCTCCACCACCATGCCCAGCTCCTCGGAGCGCTTCTCCAGCTCGGCGAGGGCAAAGCGCACCAGGGACTGCTTGTGCCGAATACTCTCTAGCTGCTTGCGTGTGTCCTCGGCGGCGCGGCAGGGCGTTAGGTTCCACTCCTGCAGACGCTGCGGCAGGACCTGAAATTTTAAAGGATTTCAGTGGTTATAAGGGTTTTGTGGACTGCCCAAAGGCTGCGAACCTGGAAGATGCGGTTGGTGGCAAGCTTGAAGCCGCACTTATCGCTGCAGTACTTGCTCTGCGGCCTCGCCTGGCAGCAGCAGCCGGGTCCGTGGCACTGACGCATGCCTTCCAGCTCCGGATTAAGGAACACCTCCGGGCTGGCCGCGCGCAGGCCCACCTTCACCTTGCGATCCTTGGGGGCCGCCTTCTCGCGCTTCCTGCCCGGACCCGCCTGACTCTGGGGCGCCTCCTTGACGGGGCCCTGGACCACGCAGGTGCGGAATATGCAGCGTGGCTTGTGGCCCACGCGGACGCGGCAGGCGTCGCACTGGTTGCAATTGGGACGCCGGCATCCCTCGCAGGTGCCGCATCGCTTGCCCGCCTTCGGTTCGCGGGCGTTGCTGTTCTTGCGCTTTAACGGCGCCGTCGTCGCAGGCGGCTGCAGGCTAGCCGTGCCGGGCGCCAACGGCACGCCGCCAGGGGCACCAGCCGGCGGACCCGATCCCGGGGCATTCAGACTCGTGGAGGCGGCATTCGAGGCGGCCGTCCGTTCGGTGGCCACCAGGCGGAAAATGGTCTGCAGCTCGGGGTTCTCCTTCTTGCAGCGCCGGCAGTAGTACTGTTTGATGTGCTTGGCCTCCTTCTCGGTGATCCCGATGCAGTCGCCGTGGTACCACTCCTCACAGCCATCGCAGCCGCTGGAAGAGAATCAGGGAACAACCTGGTTAGCAGGGACTCCTGGCTGGGCATCGGCGGACTCACATCATAAACCTGGAGCAGTCGGAGGTGCGGCAGATGCAGTACGCCTGGTCCTCCTGCTTGAGTATGGTGGCTATCTTTGACTTGCGCTCCGGCAGGTCGAACTCCCGGGCGATCTCCCGCCGGATTTCCTCTTTCTGTGGGCAACAAATTGGAATTGCTGTGATAATGACCATTGCGATCGCCGCCTGCTTACGGTTTTCTTGTACTTCCGCTTTTCTGCCATGCCGCTCCGATCTCTCCGAGAATTCAAGTTCGTGAATTAACGTCCGTTCCAGAAAAAAAATAAACTATTAAGAATGGTGATGGCACTCTAAGCGATAGTTTGTTAGAAATGTGCCAAGGACTTATCGATGGTTGCAAGTTGAAATTATGGCAAATTAAAGTTTGGTAAAAATGCCATTTAAATTACCTTGTTATTATTATTTATTTATATAAAGCTAACTTTAGGCCAAAATATTAAAAATTATTAAAATAATAGTTAAGTACCTAAAATGTATAAAACTTAACCGGTCCATTCAGTGGCACAGGTAGTTTAGAATTATTTGTCCTTCAATTCGAATTTATAACTTAAGTTTGTTATTCAATTTTTTAAATTTTGCTGACTGTAGTTTCATTGTGTAATTTTTTTAAAAATAACGATATTTTCTGTCATTAAACCGAACATCGATAGTCAAATCAATTATCGATTAATCACCAGTAACATCGAGTTTCTCCCATGTTTAATAACCGCGCGTTTTGCCGCATTTTGTTGGGATTTTCTGAATTGAATTGAATGTGAATTATCCGGCATAATGGCGGCCCTGAGCAACTTGAAACAGTGCCCGCCGTTTTCCACGCTGCCGGATCTGGCGCTGCGGCACAATCACATCCCGGAGCTGGAGCGCTACCCTCAGATAAACCTGAACCACGAACTCCTGGCCCATCCGGCTGGTCAGAGATTCTACGGCGGCCAGAGCTTCGTGCCCGTGGACGAGGGCGTTCTGAAGCGTATTACCCGCACCTTCTTCGACGGCGGATTCTGGGAGTCGCTGGAGGAGGCGCGCAGCCCAAAAAGCCGCGAGCAGGCGCCACTGATTGCCCAGGCGGGTGACCTGATTGCCCAGATTTTGGGTCTGGCCACCGGGTTGCGGCTGAAGATCCTCCCGCACACCCAGGAACTCAGTGCAGAGCGCATAGCGCAGTTTGTGGAGACAAGGTGGATGGAATCACAGATATACCCCCAATAGATACTTGACCGTTTCCCTTCGTTTCTTTCAGGGATTGGCTGAATAGCGATGTGCGCTTTCTCGCCTGGAACTGGCACTTCTTCAGCCTGGCCGTGGCCGGCGTAGACGATGTGGTGCGCATATACTTCAAAAATTCCAGCGCCGCCAACGCCACTGTTTTGAAGGTGGATAGATCCACTACGGGAAGCTTAATAATCTACTGAACTCTGTCATGTATTTCTCATTTTAGAGCCCCTCGCAAACGCAGATCACATGCATGTCATGGCGTCCGCTCTGCTCCGCGGAGATAGTGATTGGCTGTCGGCAGGGTTTATGCTTCTGGGAAGTGGACAGCAGTCTGCACTTGGGACGCACCAATGCGCCCAGCAAGGTCTTCAAACAGTTAGTCAGCCACACATGATCAAGCTCATTATATGTTTACTCACCCAGTGTTCTCCTTTAGTCCCGCCAATCTGCCAATTACGTCGCTTCAGTGGAACAAGGATGGCACCCAGTTGGCCACCGCCTCGATTGGAGATCGCTCCATCATCATCTGGCAGCCGGACAACGGAATGATGCAGCCACTCAAGCGCCTGGGTCCGCCGGGATCGCTGCTCAAGTGGTCGCCGGAAAACGACTGGCTGTTTGCGGCCACCGTGGACCGGGTGTTCCGCGTGTGGAATTGCAACCAACAGTGGACCACGGAGCGCTGGGTATGCGGTCCCGGGGGCCATGTGCAGACAGCCTGTTGGTCGCCCTGCGGTCGCTTCCTGCTCTTCGTCAGCAGCGCCGAACCGATCATTTATCGCCTGCAGTTCGTGCAGCAGAGTCTGCTCTCGTGTAAGTACGAAAGAGCGAAATGCAAGTACACCAGCCCAGGGCAGTCTGTTTCCAGTGTCTGTTCTTAAGTTTTGGACAGATGCCAGGGAGCGATATACTGAGATATACTGCCCCAGATTAAAGCTGTCAGGAACAGGTTGGCGGCTGCCAAAGCTTCCAGACCGCCTGTATAATGCTGACTACAAGACAAAGTCCTACCAAAACCGCGCTTGCTTTTTAACTAACATCTTTTTTATGGGTCTTCCTTGTAGCCTCGGCAGATGAGAAGGAAATCCTGCCCATTGCGGACCTGAATGCCTGCAGCATCGATGCGAATCGCACGCTCATCGGTGGTCCCGCCCAGCAGTTGGCCTGGGATCCGCACGGCAACTACCTGGTGGTCACCTTCAAGTCGACCAACTGCATCGCCGTCTTCCGCACCTTCATTCAGAAGTTCGATCTACAGATATCGGCGGCCTACTATCTGAGCGGGGAAACGGCTACGGAGCATCCCAGCTTCATCTGCTTCCAGCCCCTCTACAAGGACAATGATCGTTCCGTACTGACCATCGCCTGGTCATCGGGCCGTATCCAGTACTACGCCTTCGACTGATCCCTAAGCTTAGTCCGTTTTCATTGTAATATTTTATTTGATTTGGTTTTTGTAAGCGTTAATACACAGTTAAACAGGACAACCATAGTTTGGCATCCATCAATGGTGGTGGATTGAGATGAATCCGCAGGGGTGCGGATGTGGGGCACAAAATTTCTTTTTAACGTGTTAGGTAATTGACTTTGAATCGAAAAAAAGTTATAAAGAACTCGGATCTTTCTAACCACATCCCCATTTTCATCTCTTTTCCACATTCGATTGAAATGCGCAGAGCGTTTTACACCTTTAAGGTAGTTGAACAATTTTCACAAAAATTCCTAATAGGTTAATTTCTTTCTTAAAATTGGTCCAACAATTGTTTGCAACTAAAAGTTTTGATTATAAATATTTATTTTAAAATACTATTAGAACAAATTTAGACAAAAGAACAAGTAAAATCACATATTTTCTGTGGAATCATGGTGTTTTTATCTATAATAATCCTCAAAAAGCCGAGGTATCTTTTAATAGACTCGGTATACCAAAGAGATTATTGTCTGTAACCAAGTCTTCTATAGAATACGATTTCCTATCACTTACAACTGCCTTAAAGCTGCAAAGCGCTCCGCATAAACTTGAATATAAATATATAAATAATGGTATGTGTATACCTATATATAGTATATAGTATGGTATATAACGTGACTTTCGATTACATAACAAAAAACAAAGAGTTAGATATCAAACATAATATGGGGAACGGTTGCTGAGGCAAAGGGATCACACTTGGAGCAATACTAAGTCATAATTTACAAACACACAATATAACCGCACAATACACTTAATCGAGAGTTGGTCCCCCAGATGGCCTAGATGTCGCCAAAGAAGTATCCCAGGGCGGTGGCCGCCCGCATCCGCACCAGCGCCTGTTCGTCCTTGAGCAGCACGGCGATCTTGCTGGCCACCGTCTCTGTCTGCAGGTTCCGCTCGCTAAGGAAGTTGTGCAAGATGCCTAAGATGGGAAATTGGTGTAATAAATGTCTTATGGATTCCCAGGCATCAGGCTGTCTTACCAATCACGATGGCCGCACTGCCCCGCATCTCCGGCCACTGACTACGCAGCTGCGGCAGGCACGAGTCGATGAAGTCCTGGATGTGCTCGGTCAGCTCTTGGGCCTGGAGGGTACCGAAAAATATATTTAAAAATCCATTGGGCCAAAGTTGAAGACATTAGAAACTCACAATCATCTTGACGAACTCCAGCACGAAGCTGCTGTAGTTGAGCTGGTGGCCTCGCTCTTCGCCCAACTGCTGTTGGGCCATCTCCGCTACCTTTGGAGCGGCCAGGAGGCGGCAAACCCGCTGCAGAGTTCCCCGGCAGGCCGACACAATGGCCGCCTCGCTTTCGCTGAGATGGAGCAGCAGCGGGAAGAGATTGGCTACGAGCTGCTCCCTCAACGCCTCCATCGAGGAGGTGGGCGAGCTGCTTCCATCGTCGTGCTTGCCTTCGCAGATGTCACCAAACAGTTGGATGGCCGCCTCGCGCATCTCCAGCGCATAGTTGCCCAGGAAGGGTCGAATGCGGATGGCCAGCGAGACGTGGAAGGACTCCACCCGCTCGCTGGGCAGGGCCCGCAGGATTCCTGACAGGCCGCGCATGCTCTCCAGCGGAATGTTGATCAGGCAATCGCCCACCGGATCGTCGACGCCCTTCAGCAAGGCTCCGATGGCAGTTTCCGAGTAGCGCTTCGCCTCCTTTTCCCCCAGTTGGCCCACGTAACCCATGCCCTGGATGCTGAGACCACGCACCACCGCATTGGGATCCGACAGAGCCGCTCCGAGGTGGAGTAGAATGGATGCAGCCAGCTCTCCAGTGGGTTTCAGTGGCACCAGGCGGGAGAAGAGGCCCACGGCGGCCACCCTTTGCCCGTCATGCGGCGAGGCCACGTATTTGCTTAGCGAGTTGACCAGCTGCCTCATCTGCGGACTGCCCAGCTGCAGCTGCTGGCCCAAACCGATGGCCATGGGGGTCAACAGTTCGATGTAGTTGTGCCAGTCCGCGCTGCTCGCCAGTCCGGTGTTCACAGTCAGCACGCTGGCGATCTGCTCCATTTCCAGGTTGGTGAGAAAGGCCTGAAATCGGGGCAGTTATGATGATGGGTCTATACAGCTTATGGTCCAGTTGAACCCACCTGAAACGTTTCCAGGGCTATTTGGCAGGGATTGAGCTTGATCAGCTCCTTGTTCGGTATGAATCCGAACTTGGTCCTGCCCGAATGCGTTTGGTTTGGACTAAGAGAAGCGATTGATGAATTCGGGGCGGCCAGATTGGTGTAGCTGCTCAAGGAGGTCAGCAGCATGCAGAACATGTCCGCAAATCGTGTCTCCAGTTGCTAGAAACAGGAATTACTTGGTGTTAAAGAGTAGGTCTAAGGGATTCCTCTTTAGCACTCACCCCCTTGATGTCCTTGCAGGGCAGCATCTCGTGCAGGGCGCAGAAAATAGCAAACGGCTGACCGCTGGCCAGCTTCTGACGCTCGGACAGGGAGGCCTCCTGACCGCCCTCCTGCAAGGAAGCGCCGCTCAGCAGCTGCAGGAAGTTGTCTAGCGTCAGGCCCGTCAGCTCGGGGTCGTTGCAGACCAGGTGCCAGTACTCCACCAGGTTGGGATCGTACGGCAACGGCTGGGC